AGAAATACGATGAAAATAAAACAGCAACTAATTCCACTTCAAGGACAACTCCCTCTCCGAGACCTCTGGGACGTGAGCCGGGTCTTCTCATCCAACATCAGCACCTCACACATGGGACAAAATTCCCACAGACACCCTCCAAGATCTTGCGGAGGATGTTATCAAATGAGAGGATATCAGGACAGGAAGTCGGAGGGAATGCTGCATGACACATCAATACAAAGAACTAACAGGACACCTGTGCCCAGACTGACACGAGAATAAAAACAATGTAGCAATTGATTTCCTCATAGGAACACGGCGCTCAAGGCTGGATTCCTCCCTCCAATCCGCCAGCGCTGACTGGGGGAACGGACGGGGGAGGGGGTGGGTACAGCTGGCTCTGCCTCTAGATAGGCGGAGCCAGCTGTCACTCACGCAGCTGGGCGGATCCCGTCATCTACGTCGGGATCCGCTCCGGCGTCTCAGTATACCGCGAGCTGCAGCTCCCCATATACGGAGCCTAGGGTGTTGGGAGGACGCTAGTTTGTGTCCTCCCGTTACCCTAAGGAGAACTATGAGGAAAAACACTGACCCCATAGTTCTCCTTTAATCGGTACATATCGTATATAGAATTATTGTAACATTGTTATTCGATCCTTTACATCCCAAAAACGTCTTACATATGCAGGTTTTCTTCCAACGCATTTCTAGGAAGAAAGTCTCCTTCTTCAAGGATGTTCATGAAGTCCAAGTGATAAAAAAAAGATTAAACATATCATGTAGATCAGCAGTCGGCAACCTTTCGGACCTCATGGACCACTAAATTCATTATTTTAAGTCCCGCGGACCACTAATATGAATTTAAAAAATATATATATTCTCATGTGTGTATATCTATCTATATATACAAACGCACACACACATATGAGAATATATTTATATTTACATACAGTATATATACCCATACATAGGTGCGGGTGTGCCTGCAGGGGTGGCAGGGCTGGTGGAGGGAGTGGTGCCTTCATATTAATGGCCATCGGGGGGGAGGCAACTTCATATTAATGGCCATCGGGGGGGAGGCAACTTCATATTAATGGCCATCGGGGGGGAGGCAACTTCATATTAATGGCCATCGGGGAGGAGGCCACTTCATATTAATGGCCATCGGGGAGGAGGCCACTTCATATTGATGGCCATCGGGGAGGAGGCAATGTAGTGTTAATGGGCACGAGGGAGGGGAGGGTCTTCAGGTCTCTGCCGGTCACAATTTATTCTTTCCAGCGGTGTGAACTGCAGAATTTTCCTCAAAAACTGCATTTTTCTTTCCGTCACGTTTTGCCAGTTTTCCCCTTTTTTTCGCCAATCTTCTACATTCCGGGAGTCTCACACGGCCCGCTGCCATCACCATTTTCCATGTTACTAGCAGGAGGGTATGGGCGCAAAAAAATGCCGTTATTACTCCGACCTCCATAAACAGACATTATATGCGCCCCATTCCTGCATTCGTCTAAGTCGTGGCCTCTCTATGAGCGTCCCCCAAAAGTGCTCATGGCCTCTGAATTAACGCCACAACTTCGACATTCCGCCAATAGGAGTCCGCTGCCTATTACTGAGGCCCGGAAACGTGCTTTCCGAAGTGCTCTACTAATGAGGCTATTTAACTAAACTACGTGATTAAAGAGGCCATCTCGTTAAGGGAGACAAATGCGGCTCTCACAAAGTTTGTCTCTGCAGTGGCGGCGGTGTACAAGGGACACATAATGGAGGTTTGAGGCTGGCGGGAGGGCAATTTATTAGAGGGGATTTATAGCAGACCACGGGGTGCCCAATCGGAGGCCATAAAACTCGGTAAAGACACACCGGGGTGGCTGTGTCAGGGAATAAGCGTCAGATACCAGCAGCCGAGAACTGCCCGGGACAACTGTCCCCGAGTTGTTAGCAAGCAGGGGGCCCGCTCTGTTAGTTATAAACCAGCAACTGCCCCACGGTGCCAGTTATAAGAGAGTAGAGCGCCCATGGTGCCAGTCATAAGTGAGCACTGTGCATATGGTGACAGTTATAGGAGAGCAGGGTGCACAGAGAGCACGTTGTAAGCAAGCAGGAGGTGCACAGAGTACTAGTATATAAGTGAGAAGGATGCACAAGGTGCTAGTTATACGCAAGCAGAGCACAAACCAAGCCAGGTATAAGCAAGCAGGGCACACGCAATGCCAGTTACAAGTCAGTAGGTCATACACTAAACCAGTTATAAGCAAGCAGAGCACACACAATGTCAGGTACAAGTGAGCAGGGCACACACCATGCAAGTTATAAGTAAGCAGGATGCACAGAGTGCCAGGAATAAGTGAATGCGAACAAAGTGGCAGTTATAAGCAAACAGGATTAACACAGTGGCAGTTATAAGTGAGCACTGTAAGCAGCGTGTCAGTAAGAAGCGAGCAGGGTGCAAGGAGGGTGCGCTATAAGCATATAGAGTACAACTAGCGCCAGCTAGAAAACTAGCAGGATGCACAAAGTTACAAGCATACAGGGTGCCCAAACTGCCTGTTATAAGTGAGCAGGGTGTACGCAATGCCAGTGACAAGTGAGCGGGGCACACACCAAGCCAGTTATAAGCAAGCAGAGCACACACAATGCCAACTACAAGTGAGCAGGGCACATACCATGCCAGCCAGTTACAAGCGAGCAGGGCACACACCATGCCAGTTACAAGCGAGCAGGGCACACGCCATGCCAGTTACAAGTGAGCAGGGCACACACCATGCCAGACAGTTACAAGCGAGCAGGGCACACACCATGCCAGACAGTTACAAGCGAGCAGGGCACACACCATGCCAGTTACAAGTGAGCAGGGCACACACCATGCCAATTACAAGCGAGCAGGGTGCACAGAGTGCCAGTAATAAGTGAATGCTCACAAACTGCCAGTAAGAAGTGAGCAGGGTGCAAAGAGTGAGAGCTATAAGCACATAGGCTGCCAATAGTGCCAGCTATAAAGCTAGCAGGATGCGCACATGGTGACCAAACTTCGTGTTATAAGCAAGCAGGGTGAATAGAGGGTCAGTATTAAGCGAGCAGGGTGCACACAGAGTGCCATTTGGAAGAATGACGAGTGTTCAAACTGCCTGTTATGAGCGAGCAGGGTGCACACGGTGCCAGTTGTAAGCACACAAGGTGTCCAAGTCTCCAGCTATAAGCGAGCACTGTATAAACCCAAGTTAGGAAAAGCGCTGAATGCGTTACACTGAGCTCTGGTGTCGAAGGAAAGGGGGGGGGGGGGAAGCCCCC